ATAGGCGTTATAATGGTCGTTAAATAATTGATTCTTATACTTTCTCCAAGCATTTTGAATTGATTCAAAAACCCACTTTTTTGAAGCATCAGGAATGTCATATTTTCCCTACAAATTAGGCACAGTTAGGTTAGTGTAAAAATATGAAATATCTACATAGAATATTGTGAACTTCAAACCTTGATATATTTCCACATATCTTCTTTTGTTTGAAGTTTCCTCCAATTAAACACATTAAGAGGACAAAAGGCCGCTCCTTGCCAATGTGCCGATGAAGCTACCCAACTCTGCTACAACATCATCAGTAAGACCTATGGGTTGATTGTTCTCGTTTACCACAATTAGCTTGCGCTCTTTCCTACCATGAACACTTGGCATCAAAGTTTTTCCTCTTTTTCTTTTTTTCGGCAGAAGGACCTGCATTAATATTAAGTAAGAATAATCACCAAAAGTCAATATTATTTGTTAATTTAACAAAATAAAATTTATATGTTCTTGCCTTGTTCCTCGGATTGTTCGTTTGTTTCATGATGGGAAGAATCCTCCAATTGTTCATGTACCGTTTGTGAAGTACGAGTTGTGGAATCCAGTGACTTTTGCTGCAATTGTTCACGTAATGCTTGTGATGCAAGAGAGGTAGAGTTCAGTGACTTTTGCTGCACTTGCTCATGTACAATTTGTGCTGGAGGAGAAGCAGAAGGCAAAGGCAGTTGCAACAATTGTTCTTGCACTTGAGCTCCTAATTGCGGAAGTTGTTTTTCAATTGAATTCAGCTGATGCTTGTCATTTGTCCTTGTAGCTTGAACAATTCTTTTTGTTTTCAATGATGAAACCTTTTGATTCAGCAAAGATGCAAGTGATCCGGCTGCAATGCAATTTTTAGCCTTTTTATTTTTACTTGAGTGCCCTTCCTGACTCATAACTATTCAAATTCCTGTCAAAATCAGAAAATTAAATAAGAAATAAGTTATCAAAGCATTAACAATAATGCATTGTATACACCTCACAAGTCTATGTTACCTTGATCTTTTCTGTAATCGGTCAGCCGTTCACATAAAAATAATACTTTCAATTTACTAAAGAAAGAATAGAACATGCTTCTACACCATGCTTGAACAGTTGGGTTACTGTTTCTTCTTCAAATTATCAAGCAAAGAAGGGTCTCTGCTGAAGAGGCGCTACAAGCTATTTCTAGGTGCTGGAGTTGGATTGTGCAGCATTATATGAGCTATTGGATTGTTGGGAATAAAGCTGTAAGTCCATATCACAGAAAGCAAACCATCAACTCCAGAATCACCCCAAATCATCAACAGAAACTGCAGGATTCAGCAATTTCAAGTGCTGAAGGGATCCAAAAGTTTTAATTATAGATTCACATTGCTTACTTGCTTAAGAAAAAGAAGTATACAGTTATTTACATTTTCTCTACTTCGTGAATTAAATTTGATTTGAGTCGTAAGAAGCAGAGAAATAGGGAAACACATGAATCCAGTTTCAGTTTCTAGTTTTCATTGTACTGCATTTAGAATACTTCCTGCCCATTTGAGGTTTTAAGAGAGTCATCAAAGTAATCATGGCACTTCCTCTTTAACTTCATTCTCTCTCTTTACATTCTATGTTAATCATAGCGAAACTGAACCTTGGACTCTAAGCACGAAATACCACAATCCTTCAAGATCACTCTTCAGCACCTCATCTAGTCTAAATGCACCTCTTCAGCAACTCATCTAGACTATCACAATCCTGCAGATCACTCTTAAGTAATTGAATCCATATATATGTTAATTATGAGTATTCTAAAAGAAGTCTATGTCAATTATGACTAATGGTAACACCAATATAACACAATATCACTAGATATAAGTTCTTTCCCAAAATCCAAGAAGTGTTAGAGGTGGAATCAGTTTTAACATGGCACTTCAAAGCAGTAACTGAGAGATGTTTATTTTGGGAAGTACCAGTGCCTTTCTCTACTGAAGAGGAAGTTAACTTAACACCAGCTGATGATGCCTCTAACCTGAAAAATGAAGGTTCAATAACCATAGAACAATAAGGACAAAACAGAGAAACTACTAATGCATTACAATCATGAAGGAGTATGTAAACTCGCCTGCCCTTACACCTAGATGAGATAAATGAGGCAGCTAAACAGAAAATGTAAAGTCCCTGGGATGATTCCTCAATTCCTCAATCAGATTGTCGAACAAATAGGTGTGTTGTTATCATTAGACAAAGCTACTATGATCAAAACAAGAGGTTGTGAAGCCAAAGCTAGAGTAGAAGTTAACTTGACCAAAGCTTTACCGGATAGTGTTTGGGTTGGTTACGATGATGGAGATGAGGACGGTTACTGGCAACCTCTGGAATATGAGGGAGTACCAGACTATTGTCAATATTGCAAACATCAAGGCCACAAGGAAGTCCAGTGCAGAATTAAATCAAAAGTTATTTCCATCAATACCAAAACAGATGAGGAGAGACATGGACAAGGAAATTTCGAGCAAAGAGAAATTGGCAAATATAAAGCAGAATGCAGTCAACACCATGACAAAAATGCATCAGGTAAGGAACAAGGTACAACTAGCCAGCAAGCTCAAGTTAACGAAGAGGAACAATGGCAGACTCAACCTATGAGGAACAATGGAAAAGGTAAGATGGTTATGCAGGGAGGAGCCAAAACAAATACGAACAAGCAACAACCAAATTTCAAGAACCAAAACAGAAACAAACCTATCATACAAAGATATGTACCAGAGACTTTGGAACTAGAGGAACACAATCAGATCATAGCTCTACCTCTACCTGAAGCAAATGAAAAAAATATTTCTGTTTGTGAGGAAACTAACACTAATCCTGTCCGTGGAGAAGAGGTCACACCAAACTCAGAAGCGGAGGAACAGAACAGATCTTGGCATTGTTACCTGGGATGATTCTATCCACCTGGGATGGTAAAGTCCCTGGGATGATTCTATCCACCTGAAAATGTAAATAATCAGCCCATATACTCCAGTTATCGATACGACATAGAGTTAAGGTTAAAACATAGAAACAATACGTGCAACTTATGCATTCCAACAGGAAATATAATATAAAAAAAATTAAAATTATATAAACAGGAGTAATTCTAAAATATTGACAAAAAATATTATTACTCACTCTAAACAGAATATATTTAAAAAAATATAAGAAGTTTCTTCTTTAATCATCTGATTCCATCCAGTCCCAATCAGTATCATCAAACTCTTCTATAATTGCATCATTTGAATGTTGTGCATTAGATGGAATATTAACGACATCAACGGGTACATTGTTTCTTGAGCATCCAACGTCAACATCAGCTAATCCTCTTAAGGAACCAATGTCATCATTAGGCTCCCTCCAAAATGCATTTTCAATATTGGGGCAATTTTCTTCCTCTAAATTATATAAATCAACAGGGACTTTATTCCTTGCATAATAAACATCTTTCTCAACAGGATCCTCCACATAAAAAACTTGATAAACTTGTGATGCTAACACAAAAGGGTCATCTGTACTACATAATTTCTTAAAGTACACACGGGTTAACCCATATTCATCTATTTCATTACGAACCCAGTTGCATCTAAATAGTACAACACTAAAACAACCCCAATGATCAATCTCAATGATATCCTGAATAGCTCCATAATAGATAACCTCACCATCGATGGGATTTTGGTCCATAGAGCTAGCAAAGCTATCGGTTGTTGCTGATAAAGTCACTCCACTATTTTGAGTCTTGCATCGAGAATCTCGTTCTATGGTATGAAATCGATATCCATTAATGAAATATGCAGTATATCTTTTGGAGATCGCATTAGGCCCTTTAGCTAGCCATCTTACATAATCGGGCACTTCAATATTTTTAACTTTCTCAGCAAACCAATTGTTGAATTCCTGACTATGATTTCTTGCTCTTTCCCATGCATTTGATCTACTGCGATTACCAATTAAATTCTTATGTTCCCTGCAATCATGAATATTTCAAGGTCAATCATATCATTAAAAAATGAAGTATAGAATAAGTGTTATATAATTTATCTTACTCGATAAACTTTTCCACTTGTTCATCTCCAGTATTGAACAGAGCATATCGATGTGCTTCATAACATAACTGTGGATCCATGTGAAAAGTATTTTTCTTATTACTTCCAATTGGATGGCCTATAACAGGGAATATGGATGACAAATTTTGAGGGCACTCATCATCTACAATTGGTTATCTACTGAATCTTGTCTTCACACTGTCATGTAGGTATCTTGAACAAAAAATCAAACACTCTTCTGCGAAAAATCCCTTTACTATCGACGCTTCTGGACAAGATCGATTACGAACAAATGCCTTGTATTACACAAGTTCCTCTCAATGGGATACATCCAATGAAGATGAGCTGGACCCCCAAGCTTAATTTCATTCACCAAATGAATAGGCAAATGTGGCATTATATCGAAAAATGTTGGATGAAAAATTATTTCAAGCTCACAATTTATTTCAACAATTTCAGAGTTTATTTTTTCAAGATCTCTTCGCCTTATGAACTTACTACATATAGCTCTTAAAAAATTACCCAACCTAATCAAGGCCAATGAAACACTCTTGGGCAACGTCTTTCTAACATCAACCTGGAGCAAGTAATGCATTAAAAAATGAGCATCATGACTCTTGTACCCTGATATTTTCATCTCCTTCACGTGCACGCGTTCTGAAATATTTGAAGCACAACCTTTTGGTAACTTGGCATTTTTTATGACGGTACAAAATAAATTTTTCTCTTTTGGTTTCATGTAGAAACAAGCTTGAGCCAAACTCACTGTTCCATCATCATCTTCTCTTGGTTGTAACTCCTTTCGTATCCCCATTTCTTGTAAGTCATAGCGAGCATTTACATGATCCTTTGACTTTTTTTCCATTTTCAATAAAGTCCCAAGCAAACTGTCACATATATTTTTCTCGATGTGCATCACATCAAGATTGTGCCTCAATTTGTTATGCGCCCAATATGGCAATTCAAAAAAAATAGATTTTTTTTCCACGGACCCTTGTTATCCCAAGGTCTTTTCTTTTTGCCCTTTCCAAAAATATTGTTGAATTCAAGCAGCTCTTGAAACACTTCTACACCCGACAAAGGAGTAGGTGCAGGTCTATGTTCCTCCTTACCATCAAATGACTTCTTATCTTTCCGCAAAGGATGATCATGAGGCAAAAATCTTCGATGGCCCATATAACACATCTTATGACTGTGTTTGAGATATAGAGAGCATGTGTCATAATTACAAGTGGGGCATGCCAACCTCCCCTTGGTGCTCCATCCTGAAAGCATAGCTAATGCTGGAAAATTACTAACTGTCCACAGCAAGGCTGCACGCATTTGAAATGTTTGCTTTGTCTCAGCATCATATGTTTCTATCCCAGTTTCCCATAGTTCCTTCAATTCTGCAATAAGTGGTTGTAAGTACACATCTATATCATTTCCTGGAGATGAAGGACCTGGAATGATCATTGACAACATGATATATTCTGTCTTCATGCAAATCCATGGTGATAAATTGTAGTTCATTAACATGACAGGCCACGTGCTATGAGAAATGCTCATGGTTCGAAATGGGTTGAAACCATCACTTGAAAGACCCAACCTAACATTACGTGGATCTTTGGAGAAGTCGGGATGTAGAGAATCGAAATCCTTCCAAGTTTCTCCATCAGCAGGATGCCTCAAATTCCCATCATTAGGTCGTTCATTAGCATGCCATCTCATTGCAATAACTGTTTCAGGACACGTGAATATCCTCTGAAGCCTAGGCTTCAAGGAAAAGTACCTTAAAACCTTTGCAGGAACTTTAGAACTTGCATTAGTCAAGGCACGATTAGAACTTTTCCATCTAGAAGACCCACAAACAGAGCAATTATCGGCCTTTGCATTGTCATTCCAAAATAGCATGCAATCATTAGGGCATGCATGTATTTTATCATAATGAAGACCCAAATCTTTTATCATATTTTTAGCCTTGTTGAAAGACTCTGGCAGCTTAGCAAAGGGAAATGCCTCTTTTAGCAACTCTAACAAGTCTAAAAAGGCTACATTACTCAACCCATGCAAAGACTTAAACAAGTACAACCGGGTGAAACTCAGTTTATTGAAGTTCTCACACCCTGGATATAATTCTTGTTTCCCTTCCTCTAATAATTTAAAAAATCTCTTAGCATCTTCAGATAGAGCCTCTCTCATCCCTTCTTGTTGTACCGGCTCGCCTTCTACATTTCTGAATGTATCATGAAGTAATCCATCAATATCATCACGCATGTTAGAACCTTCATCATTATTGCTTTGACGAGGTGTAATTCTAGAGGAAAACCCTCCACCATGGAAAACCCATTCGGTGTAACTATCAACAAAGCCATTAACGACCAAGTGATCTTCCACCACATTTCTATAATGCCAATAGAGATTAATGCATTTTGTGCAAGGGCATAATATTTCATTTCCTTGGGAAGCTCGTTCAAATGCCTTATCAAGGAAATCATTCACTCCACGGATATACTCATCCGTCCATCTTAGGAGATGCATCCAACTTTTATCTACATTATCCATGAAAATCCTATACGACAAAAGTAAATCAACACAATTAACTCAATAAACCAAGGTACGTACTAATTTGACTTTGACCAAAGCTTAAAGGGGATGAGCTCAAGGAGTTACAAATAGTAAAGCAATTCTTGCATTGAGAAAGAGCTATAAAATCATTAGAGAAGAGATCCAATTCTTAGTATCAACGAAAGTTCAAAATAAACCACAAAAGGTGTTCACATGGCACATTTTTGATAAGTACAACAACAACAACAACAACAACAACATACCCAGTATTAACTTCTACAAAGCCATGATTTCCAACAAAACAAAGCCATGATTTCTTTGCATACACTATAAACAATCAAAGAACTAATCATTTATATTTCCAATTAATTTCCATTATTTCACATATTTTATTTTATTTTAAATGTGACAGCTTACTTATAACCGTTGATTATGTTTGGGATCGATCAAATTTTAAGTTGGTGATTTGTAGCGACTTTTGACCTAATTAAAGAACCCTTTGAAGCTAATTTATGTCTATACTGGCTGAGTTTATTATCTTTTTTTGGTTGTATTATTGTTTAATCACTAAGGTTTTATTATTTGTTAATCCTAATTTTAGTTTGGCCTTGTTCTACCTTTCTAACTCTAATTTCAGCCATTCTTGGCAAAACTCAAAACACAATTAATTTACTTATAATGGCATTTCCAAAGACAACAAGACTGGACACCTAAAGACTAAACAATGGCTTCAACATCCACTATATGTTATCAGGCCGACAACTCAGAGCTGAGAAACTATTTGATTATTAGAATAAAAATATCAGGATTGTGATAAAACATCAAAAGACCTCATTTTTCTTCCTTCTAAACCAATTCTACTGCAAAACTTAACAATAAAGAAAAAAAAGTTTCTTTCTTTATTAATCTGAAAGAGGAAAAACAAACAAATGATTAAATCTTTAACATTATAGGTCTCAAGAAACTAACACAATTACAAAAAGAAAGGACTATTGAATCTCACCAGTCCCAACAGCTTCTTAAAAAGCAGAAGAAAGGGATTCTTCAAACACCAAACTCGAGGAAATTGTTAAGGAAAAGAGAAAACAATCACCTACAAACAGAAGAGTTAAATCTTGGTTATAGTAAAAGCTTCAGATTGGAGAAAAGTTAAATCTTGAAGCAGATTTTTGCAATGAAGAAAACAAAGTTTCTCGGTAAGAATGAAGAGTCTGTTAAAATATTCAAGCTTCTAAATCTTATTCTTTTATTTCACAAAATTACACTACCAGAAAGTTGGGATTTATTTCTGCAAAAAAGTAACATTAATATTGAATACAGTGCTGCCTAGATATACATTGTTTCAAGTTCAAGTCTCTCTATGGTGAAATATCAGATGTAATGTAGTATCAACAGTTTTTAGAAAACACGCATCAAAAGTTATCCCTTATGTTTGTTGTCCAAGTCCAGCACTATTTCAAGGCTTTTAAAGCTAACCTATTGCCACATCACATCAGAGGTCAAGTATTGCAAGACCAATTGGGTACACCTGCCTTCAGACACAAGAGAACCAGAAGAATCATGGTTCCTCCACATCACACAAGCCCCTCTAACTCTCATGTATATGGTTTAGTGCAGAATTTAAAAAGGGCTAGGCCTAACTGCCCAGAAGGTCACAGCCATGAAAAATGGCACTACAAACAGCAACAACACCAGTTCACACTTCATACACCCTATCAGATCACCCCATAAACAGTCTCAACACAAAAAACCTCTCCTGGAAGAAAAGAAAAGCTTGAAGGAAATGCAGTTCACACTTCCTAAATGTGAACCTCCTCTGGCACTTCCTTTTCACACTCCTAGAACGTAGGAGCCCCCCCTCCTCCTTTTGGCACCTTAACCATTCACACCATCTTGAACCTGCCAAACACAACATCTCTGAAAAACATAGCAGAAATGCTCTCATTTTCACTGACACTATTTTCTGTTTTGCAGGTGGCCCCTCTAATGTTCTGATCCCTCAAATGGTATGGTTCTTGGGAGTGGTATTAGCATCTTGGATGTTCATTCTCCTAGAATCATACCAATTGAAAACCAACCATCAACTCTCCAGAATCACCCCAAATCATCAACAGAAACTGCAGGATTCAGCAGTTTCAAGTGCTGAAGGGATCCAAAAGTTTTAATTATAGATTCACATTGCTTACTTGCTTAAGACAAAAGAAGTATACAGTTATTTACATTTTCTCTACTTTGTGAATAAAATTTGATTTGAGTCGTAAGAAGCAGAGAAATAGGGAAACGCATGAATCCAGTTTCAGTTTCTAGTTTTCATTGTACTGCATTTACTTTATCTAGAATATCCAATTTTCATTCATATGAATTTCTATCTCACCTAAATAATTAGAAACTACAAAAGATGGAGGAACACCTCAATTAGATGCTATAATCTGTAGCAATGCATCCTCCTGCTCTAAAGTGCAACTCCACCAATACTGCAGGATCTCTCATGAATGCAGTCAAGGTCCTCTAATCCAGCTCCCATTCCTCAACATGAGCAACACCAATATAGCTGATTGCAGTCCACACAAGAACCTGCAATCACCTTTTCTTCATATATCAGGGATCATCAGTGCTACCCTGTCCCCAGACTCATCTCCAGTTGACACAAGAACCTGGAGACTGAGCTCCCTTTTATCTAACCTGTTTGCTCATTTTGCAGGTACATGGAAAAAACTAGGCAAATTGTTGTACTTTCAGTTAGTGGTATGGGCATCCCAGATGCTCATTCTGCTGAAAGTACACCAATTTCACCTAGTCTTCCACAAGTTGTTACACGGGTCATTGACACTTTCAAGATAAATATATTTTTCTGTATCTCATGTACATATCGTGCTACAGAACAACAACCACTTTGAGCTTCAAACTTAGAAGCATTTTGTCACTAGAAAAAAATCAAAGAATGGGGCGCAAAAGAAAACTAATAAAAATGCCCCAAAAAATGCACCCAAAATCACACATATTAAATTAATTTACATGTATTCCTTAAACAAAACAACAAACCCCATGAAATCTATACATGAAATCAATACAGATCGATGAAATTAAAAAGAGGACCACAAATCCAAAAAGGGAAAAACAAATAGGGAATAATACTAGGAAGAAATAGTAAAATAAAGAAGTAATTAAATTAGTAAAATAGAGGAGATTTACTGAATATAGCAAAACTTAGGATTTGAGATTTAGAGAATACCCATTTGTACCCTTATTTGACAAAAATTAAAGAGAACCCATTAAAAGTAGGTGAAAAACTTGAGAGAAAGAAAGTACCTGTGATTTCACCCGCTCAAATCCTAAGTCTTGGAATGATGTTAGTTTCTTTGTTTCCTTGGAGTTTCAGACGCCAACAAATTTCAGCAGACGCCAACAAATTTCAGCAGACGCCAACAAATTTCAACAATTTATCCGTCGAGCAGTCGAATATCACCAAAAAGGTTTTATGCAATTTCGTTGTCTCTAATAGAGAGATTGAAATATGGGTTTTCTTCGAGCAATCGATGCTGGTTTAACAGGGGAAGAAGGTGGTCTTTTCCATGGTGCTTTGGTGGAAGTTTTATCGCTGAAAGACGGTGGAGATTTTGGTCGGAGATGTGGTGGAGACGCGTGATTTTGGGGTTTGGGACTTTGGGGATGTCGACGACTGCTAATAGGTAAATAGGATATGGAGTAATTAAATTAGACACTTTTATATTTTTATTTTTCTAATTAATTAAAAAAACAAAAATTATTTTTGTTTGGCGGGTTTAACAAAATTTTAGGAGGGAATAAAAAAAAACGTTGCGTTATCAGTTTTTCCCAAAATTCCGTTCTAAACAGTCCCATTAAAATGTGCTATGGCAACGGTTTAATGTCAATGGTAACGATTTTATATCAAAAGTGTGCTGATATCATCCACATTCTACGAGAACGGTTATAACCGTTGCTATATGTACTCTATAGCAACAGTTCTATAACCGTTACTAAGAAACTGTTGCAATAGGCTCATTTTCTGGTAGTGTCGGGATATTCTATTACCTTGAGCTTAATTAGACTGTAAGCCATTCACTCTACATAATATATTCTCCTAGCTCAAGGAGGCTCGAATATATTCTTCATATTGGTTTTTAAAAATATTCAATTTTGATAAAAAAAAATTAGACATATTATTGGTGATTCAACACTATAATAAAAAAGGAAAACCAACAGCATTTTTCAGCATTTGTAATAGCATAATATGAGACAGAATCCTCTTTTAGAAATAAAGATGCTTTTCCAAAAAAGACACTCCTCATTCTCACAAATTCCACATAAAAAGTAAAAATTATGCAATTAATCAAGCATTAAGATGAACAAGAATTATGAACAGACAGTAAACTTACAGGGTCTCATAATAATAATATCTTAAATCCTCTATAACCTCCTAATAGACATGATCCCTTCGAATTCATGTGGATTTACTACGGCATAGCCTAATGCTAAGGTACGGGATGTAACACTAAGCAAGGTTAAGCATGAACTAGACAGAACATGTAAATGGAATAAGTCCTCTGATGCTCTATCATGGCTAAAAGAACATCCCAGTAGCAATAGGAGAGGACTTGGCTATGGGACCCCTGCACCTAAGTGGGATCCCAAAAGTAAGTACATCATACTTCTTGAGAACAAAATCTACACACACTGTGGTAAGACAGGTCACTACAAAAGTGAGTGCACTGCAAAAGAAAAGGCCAGTCGAAAGAACAAAACTTTTGTTCAAGGGAAAAATAAGCTGTCAGGATGGGCTAAAAAGAATCTAATTCACCCTTTTGCCTATAGAAAGGGACCCAAACTAGTTTGGGTTCCTAAGACTAACCCCAATTTCCTTTTGCAGGTCCAAGTGAAGGGGAGAAGCCAAATATGGTACATGGATAGTGGCTGCTCAAGCATCTGACTTGAAGCAAGAACCATTTCCTTCACTTGAGAACCTAAAAGGAGGTAATGTCTCCTATGGAAATGGTAAGAAAGGTGAGATCACTGGGGTTGGAAAGGTAGGTAAGACAGACTTACACTTCATTGAGAATGTCTACCTGATAAATGGCTTGAAATATAGCCTAATCAGTGTATCACAACTATGTGACAAAGGTAACCTGGTAGCATTCACCTCTACCAAATGTTTTGTGATAAATCTTACCACTGACAAGATTATTCTGCAGGGAAAAAGAGTAAACAATATATACATTGTGGATCTGTCCACTATTTCAGAAAATGAATTCACTTGCTTAATTAAGTGTGTTGGACAATGATCCCCTCCTTTGGCACAAAAGACTTGGACATGCAAGTCTAAGTCAACTCAACAAATTAGTCTCCAAGGACCTGGTGATAGGGCTGCCTAACATCAAATTTAAGGAAGACAAAGTTTGTGAGGCTTGTGCAAGGAGGAAGCAGGTAAGATCCTCTTTTAAATGCAAGAAAGTGGTAAGCATGACCAGATCGATGGAAATGGTTCATATGGATCTCTGTGGTCCAATGAGAACATTAAGCAGAGGCGGTAAAAGATATATGATGGTGCTTGTTGATGATTACTTTAGGTTTACTTGGACATTGTTTTTAACATCTAAGGATGAAGAATTTGACATGTTTACTTCTTTTGTTAGAAAAACTCTGAAACAACTAGGTAATCAACTTGCATCAATCAGGTCGGATCATGGAACTGAATTTGAAAATGCTAAGTTTGCTGAATTTTGTGATGTGCATGGCATAGATCATAATTTTTCTGCCCCTAGGACCCCACAACAAAATGGAGTAGTTGAAAGAAAGTATAGGACACTTGAAGATATGGCTAGGATTATGCTTCTTTCTAGTAAACTGCCCCATAGCTTCTGGGCAGAAGCTGTAAATACTACATGTTACATCATAAATAGGGGCATGACTAGACCTCTTGTAGAGAAGACTCCCTATGAGTCACTTAAAGGGAGAAAACCAAATATATCCCATTTTAGGGCTTTTGGATACAAGTGTTTTGTGCACAATAATGGAAAGGACTCCCTAGGTAAGTTTGATCCCAGAAGTGATGAGGGAGTATTCTTGGAATATTCTTCACATAGCAAAGCTTATAAAGTGTACAAAAAAAGAACTATGTGTGTAGAAGAAAGTGTACATATAGTTTTTGATGAAACTAACATTCTTTCTGAGACAAGAACATGAAGATGAAGCTATTGGGCTGGTAAAAGGTTTAAATGAAGTCTCAGCCCAAGCTGAAGCTGCACCAGAAGAAGGAACAGGTGATAGAACGGGTTCTTCCATACAGGGCAGCCTGACAAGGGGACTGAACAAAGAATAACTGAATCTAACATCCAAATGAAACCTGTTCATGAGCCTAGTCCTCAGCAACAAAACATAGGAGAAACATCAAGCAGAAACCAGTTGGTTGTGACACCTTACAAGTATCAAAGTTCTCATCCCATTGAGAACATAATTACTGACCCAACTTCTAGAATCAAAACTAGATCTCAATTAAAGAATCTTTGTGCTTTTGATGCTTTCCTATCTCTTATTGAACCTAAAAATGTTGCTGAGGCTTTGCAGGATGCAGACTGAGTAAA